TGGGACTTCAGGTAAATTAACATATTTAAAAAATTCAATAACTTAGTCAAAGCTCAATAAGTTGGTTGCCTCGTAAGAGAAACTTTGAATGTTACTTGAAGAGAATTTTGCCATTCTTGTGAACATAAAAGCATAACAAGTTCAACAACTGATGCCGTTTGTTTAAGAGCATGTAAACCACTAGGTAATAATTCTTGTCCATGTGAACCAACTAATGTTTTTGTAAGAATATGTGAAAATTCTGTGAATATATCACGTAAAAATGGTGCAATATTAGATAATGCTCGTTCTAGTTTTTCAGTTATATTCATTGCTGATGATGGTTCCGTTGTAGCAAAATTTGCTTTCGGATAATCGGGAAGTTTGGATTCAGGTAATTGACTTTTATTTATTGTTGATTGACTACCAGTAGGAATACTGGCAATACTTGCTATAAGAAAAACAAAGATCGAAAATTATAATAAAATTTCCTTCAATATATAATAAAAAATGCAAATCAACATATTTACAAACTTTTGAAATTTTTTACACGTTTATATATATTCATATAATAACTTAAGATTCGGCATGATCTCAATATGCAGATGGTACTGACATTAGTTACCAGCCAATCGTCGACCTACCTTATTCATCTTGATGTTTTCGGTCCTAATAGGAGCTCATAGACGATGCAGAAAACATTGTGTTAAAAGTTGACTATGTGAAATAACGCTATAGAGAGAGGGAATCGTATAAAAAAATGAATGTTAAATGAATTCATTAAAAACTTTATCAAATCAGGAAATGAAATAAAGATAAAAATTCATTCATATCTTTTCATATGAAATTCGTTATTTGAAATTTTCAGTCAAATTCGATGAATATTTTGAAGAGTTTCACGTAATGCATTAGCGTGTATAACAGAAAGTTCGATTACTTATGAAAAAATGTATTATTTAACCCTTTGAATTCCATAGTAGCAAAAAAGCTACACATGTTTTATAATTATTTTTCACAATATCATTTATAAAAGGGTGGGTGTGGTGGACAGGCTTTTATTAAACAACACTCACATTCCGTACTCAGACCACCTATAGACATATTCTAATCTAACTGTTTGCTTCAATTCAATCTAACAGAAATAATTTGAGACTCAACGAATAAAATCTCTACAATTGTCTTTTCATCTCCCCGCATCATATCAAGGCCAGTTTTACGTACCGTATTGAGTAGCAGTAGCACTTGTATTATTTATATCCATTGAATTTTTATCAGTTGATTGTGAATTTATTGTATGAACCTCATTACTATCATCAATAACTGCTGATTCATCATTATTCTTCTACAAGAACATCAAATCCATATTTGATAAGAAAAAAAAATTTAATTTAAGAAAACTCATACTTGATTATTAGTAATCGATGTCGAATCATTCATACTACCTGCATCTATATTAATCTCACTAGTCGAACCTAACAAAACAAAAAAAACAAAAGAAGTTTCTCATAAAGAATAACAATCTATTCATTCATACTATGTCGAATACTAGGTGTTGCACTAATAATTGATCCTTGTCGAGAAAAATTTGTTTGATTTGTTTCAATTATATCTCGATATCTTGATACCATAAGTACTGATGCAAAATAAACAATAGCTAATGCTAAGAATTGTGATTGTTTTGTATCATCCTAAAAATAGAACAAAACACAAACTTTAATATCATTAAATAATTCTTTTTTTTTCACATAAAAATAAAAAAAGCAATAATAGAATATAGACAAAACATATAAAGCAAAAAAAACTAATAATATATAGAAAGTAATGCTTAATTTACCACGACAACGACAACGCTTTTGTTCGTTTTACTTCGATCTGGTCTTACCACATCACGATAGATAATAGCACGTAAACGTTGAATATCAAGTTCTTGTAAAACAGATTCAGGATTTTTAATAAATGATGCAATTAACATTGATATATCATCATTTTCATTTTCACTTTCATTATCATTATCAGTTATATTCATTAAATAAGTTAATTCAAGTATAGTTTCAAGTGGATCTTTATTTGATGTTTTTGGTGCTAATGTTAAATTTGAAAATTTTGATAAATCAAATTTTTGAAAACGACATTCCATACAATGACGAACAGCAGTTGTCATTGCTAAAAAAAAAAATTTTTAAATAAATATGCGTCGAAAAAGAACCACAAAGAATTTCATACATAAACGAAGACATTGTCGTAATATTCCTCCATTAGGCATACTTTTTTCTTGTTCAAGTTCAGAAAAATTTCCACTATTTGCAAGTATAAATAAATCGGATAAACTCATAACACGTTTTAAAATTTTTAATGCATCTTTAGGTGATAAACCTTCGGTATTTTCTAATAATTCAATTTCATGCTAAAATAAAACAGTATATAATGAATTTAAAAAATGAATATTATTTTAATACATACAGATGCTGATGTTGCACTTGCAAGTAATGGTAAAAGACCACCGCATGCATTACATAATACATCTGCCATTTGAGATATAATATGTATAACATTAGCACAAAATATTTGATTATCTGCATTATTAATTGCTTCAGTTATTGATTTAGTTGAATCACTAGAATAAAATAAATGCAGAAACTTCGGATTTAAATCCGAGAGTTATGTGTACTTCAAAAAGTGAATCATAAAAATCAATCATCCTAGACTGTCTGAAGATCAAAATTATACTGTGAAATCTACCATTTAAAATGTTGATTTATATTGCGCAGTGACCAATAGAAATGAAGTTATAGGAAAAACGACTTTCTTAGGGTAAATCAAGGTGCAGAGTTCAAACTTGAGCTGTATTCGGTCCCATGTCCTATTGGTTTGGCAACGCGCAATATAAATCAACATTTTAAATGGTAGATTTCACAGTATAATTTTGATNATAAATCTTTCGTACTTTCTAATAATTCAATTTCATGCTAAAGAGAAAAGTAACATAATTATAAAATAAATATAATAAATATTCATACATACAGATGCTGATGTTGCACTTGCAAGTAAAGGATAATAGACTACCACATGCATTACATAATACATCTGCCATTTGAGATATAATATGTACAACATTAGCACAAAATATTTGATTATCTGGATTATTTATTACTACAATTATTGATCTAGTTGAATCAGTAGAATACGAAAAAAAAATCAGATGATATTAATAGTTTAAATTTTAAATACTTACGATCTCCATAAACGAACATCAACTTCAATTGAATCAAAAACACTATGTAATAAACGAATATACATTGGAGAATATTTAAATTCCGATATTGTAAATGGTGATAATTGATTTGTTTTAAATACTTGACGACTAGATGTTGATTCGGAAAAATAATAAATAGTTTTTGATTCAAAATCTTTCTTATCATGTCAATGAGTTTGGCTATCCGAATCCGTAGATTTCCTATCGAAATTAGTAAATACTAAAAAAAAAACTTACAATTTAACTTACTGATGGGTGTTGAAGCAGTTTGTTCATCGACTGGAGTTTGTGAATCACTAAGTTTTCTTGGAGAAATTGATGTTTTAGACTGAATATTTCATAAATATAATTTCACAATCGATTATTTATATAGAAAAAAACAAACAAAAACTTACTTCATTATCATCATCATCTTTCATACTTTCAACGATTTTATTAACTTTTCGATAATAATCTTCTTTAGTTATCTAAAAACAAAAAAAACATAATCATAATAATATAAATCAATTGTTTTTTTTTTCAATTTACTCGTCCATGTAAAATTGAAAGTGTATCAATCTATACACGCCATCCACCATATTCATATTTAATAGAATGATGTAATAAAATTTTTAATAAATCAAATATTTGATCAGTTATTTCGAAAATGTATTTCTTGTGCTGAATAAACATAAGCAAGACAAAATAAATAGTCTTATCAAACAAACATTTGTAATATCATTCTTCACAAAAACAAAAAAAAAAGAATAAATATCTTTGTATATTTTCTATATATTACCTTCGATTTTCTCGACTTACAGATGCAAGTAAAATTAAATCATTAAGAAAACATAATTTAATATCATATCAATGAATATTATCAGTTGCATTTCAAACGTAACATTGCAATTACTTTGATCATAGCTAAAAATGATTTACATAAATTTCGATTCAAATCTATCTTTTATAAAAGTCTTATATGTTGAAGACACATTGTTCAATACTTTTAAATTTAATTTACCTGGATTTTCAATTTTTCAATCAGCTGTAATTTCTGAACTTCGTTTTTCAACAACTAATCCGCTTACTTTTTCCACAAGTATCTATTTAATAATTAAAATTAATATTGAGATTATAGATTTATTTTCTATTTTACTTCTAATAGAACATTATATGTAACTATTGTTAAACTATTTGGATGAAGTAAAAGTCGATCAGCCAATAATGAAAATAGATTATGTGATTGCATTGCATCAGTTTTTCGTCTTTAAATATTAAAAATTTAAAAAAAAAGAAAATTTCAGTTGTAATTTTACCTTAATCTTTGTCGCGACGATCAAATGCAGGTACCATTGTTCTTGAATGTTCGGACATAAGATTTACAGTCATATCCAATATCAATAAGATTATCATCCTAAAAAACAAATTTCCTATATAGAAATTCTGAAAAACATTTATCATTTCTTACTTAATGAACTGTATGAAGATAATTAAGAATAGCTTGATGTTCTTCTTCTTGAGGACCAGAACTACTTCTAACAAGTTGTTTTAAATAGAGTAACATATAACGTCTCATTTCAATAATTTGTTCACGTGTTAGTCGATTTCCATCTAACATTTATTAAATTTGATTTAATCGAAAGAAATTTTCATTTATCTAAACCTTTTGGTTTAAAACTACTACGATGAGTTGGATCAATAATCGAATAGAAATAGTTTAATGTATGTAATGTTTGAATTATTTCACTTATTGATTGAATTAAATGATAGATTTCTGAATAAATAACAAATTCTGTTGCTAAATATGTATATAAACGCATTTGAACCTCCCAAGTAAGCAAAAATAAATGAAGACGGCCGCCATGGCTAGTCCGAAATGTCCGCAACACCCATGAGGTCTAGTCCATTTTGTCCGTTGGCCCCGTCCAGACTAGTCGGAAAACTACAAAAGGAAGCTGAGAGGTGGATTCGAACATTCAACCCGACAGTATTCGAAACTTGACGGGCATCCTGACGGTAGACTAGGACACTGAGATAGACTAACGTCAGTTTATACAGTGTAAATCACAGATGGACTCCCGTCCATCCACGAGACACCTGGAAACCAGTCAATATCAAATGACTTTGACTAGTCTGAAACGTCTTTAATTATAGTCAGGACTAGTCCTTTTCTTTAACACTGTGCCACTCATCCTAGTCCAGACTAGTCTAAAAAACTCTAAACAAGCCATTTTCTTTGGACTAAATATATCCCCTTAATTCGTTTAAACTGATCAATAATGAAAAGTAAAAGAGGTAGAATGCAAGTAGAAAAAAATTTCAATATGTATATCATTTGTTAAAAATAAGCGATGGATAATCAAATGTATTTAGAACATAGATTAGATAGGAAAATCACAGTCGTTTTATTGCCTGTTTTGTACTCATATCTTCGTAGATTGATGATTAAGCATGATCTGTTATATTATGATTACGGAAATTAATGACATACATTTATTTTATATTAAAATTGTGTCGATCGTCACAGACGTTATTAATTTTTTTCAAGCTAGAACGACAATCAGAGAGTCTGTCATAATCACTGGTAAGATCAAAGATAGACACTATACTGCGTGTATTTTATTTCTATCTTGATAGATTTTATTATATTTTCTATTTTCATGCTGAAAATGTAAGAGTATATGGGAACTTAAAAGAGGAGTAGGAGTAAGTAAAAAAAGCAACATTTATCTCGTAGTAACGAATGTTAATTTATACTTTTGAAAATTATTACATGTATTAAATTTGAAAAACCTAAAAACTAATTTAAATTTTTTTTATATCATAATTTTATGTTCTTTTATTTTGAATTTAAATTCTAATAATTTTAAACCTTTAAGAATAAATTTAAACTAAGCAAAGTTAATTTAATTGATAGTTGAAGATACGACCATTTTTATTTAAAACTAAACCATCAGATAAAAAAATCTGGCTTTTTTTCAATATAAATTGTTTTTCATGTTTTGTATTTAAAATTTATTTTTTTGATCCAACTAATTATTCTTACTTAATAATAATCNAAATCCAACATTACATAAAAATCAAGTCCTTTATTCCTGGTGAATATCTAGCATTTTTTTCTTAGTTGTTTTTAAAAATTCTAATTTATATAACAACACATGCTTCGCCTTTTTAGCATTAATGATAGATAGATAAATTAAATTAAAAATGTAATATGAATTGTATTAAAATGAATGATATTTAAATGAAAAAAATTCAACAGTTTTCAATTAATTTCATCGAGCAAAACATGAACAAAGTTAATATTATTGATATACGCTATACTTAATAGCACTAAATAGATTATATTTAAAAATAAATAGCATAGCAATGATGGCTGTTTATCCGTAAATAGGTATTCAATAGAAGCACAACATGAAAGGTATATAATATAATATTTTTTGGATGATATATTTACACTTAGAATTAGAAAAGTGCCAGATTTATGATTAATTAATCTGCTTTTTTTTGTAAATCTATTAATCAAAGAACAGATGCTTATGTTGTTGAAGTATCATACGATGCAAATAGTATATAAGTTATTTTCATAAAACGTTTGTAAACGGAACGACACAATAAAAAAGAGAGACACCCTACAAAAATCCGCACTTTTTCTATAAAAGAATAACATAAAATGTCGATCATTATATGTGTTTCATACATACGCTCTAAAAACAAAATTTTATTATCAGCTGATAGGAAATTTTCTCCTCTTTCGAACGGTGTATAATTTATATTTGTCATACATTCGCTAGTGAAATGGAATGAAGAAGAAAGAGAAACAATCGCGCAATAAATGTACAATGTTTATATCAATTCACCAAAAACATCTAGTAGACGACAGGTAAGTACAAGTAACTGTCGTCTAACAACCTATTTTTAACGAGTTCATAAAAGCCGAAGTAAGCACTATTTTACAAGGGCTTTTTAATGAGTACACAAAACTCGAATTAATTATTGTCTAACAACATGTTTTTGACGAATTTATATAAAAATTGCAAATTTATTGAACAATTGTTTCTCTTTCTTCTTCGTCTTATTTCATATACGAATATGTGACATATATAAAGCATACACCGTTCGAAAGAGGAGAAAATTTTCTTTTCAAGACGTGTTTATTGAAGGATTATTCAAGATATATAGGAATCAATATTTTGTGCCGTTTTTCTAAATTCCAAGAAAAAAAACGGATTTTTTTGAGGATGTCTTTCTTTTTTATTGCGTCGTTTCGTTTACGCATGCTTTATGAAAATGACTTATACACGATTTGAAGAGGAGAAAAAGCTCTACCTTTTGATAAAAAAAGGTTTTCTTTCAGCAATCTTCTATCCACGAGAAAAATGGATCAACATTTTATGCCATTAATTTTGCATCGTATGATATTTGGCAACAAAAAACGAGGTGTGTTCAGATTTCCGAAAAAAGAAATTTCCAAAAATAACAAAATTTCTATGATACCATTTCGAGACCTACATGAGCAAAAACAGGAAATTACCCTCACGCCAGGAAGAAATTTCCCGAAAACTTCGATTATTACTGATAGTATAGAAGGAAATAAACAGATAATTTCGGTGAATACCACTGCAGATAAGGAAATTTGGGTGTGGGTGTATGTCACTTCCCGCTCTATCGACACCCTCTTTTACAAATCGATAGAAGACAACTCAAAGTATCTACAGCGATAAAAGTCTAAAGCTGGAAAAATGTGGATCTTCTCGTTTTGAAAGGAGGTGATGTCCTCTTAAGCAATTCTAAACATCCTATCTGACACCATCGTTTCATTATCTGAAACAGAGAAATAAGTGATAAAATCTAAACATAAGATCTAGAGCTTTTCCATTCGACAACATTTTATTTATTCCAAAAACAGAAAATTATCTTTAGAACAGTACAATCAGTTAGTTATATATAAATGAAACCAATTGTGGCAAGAAAGTTCTACACTATGGTGAATGGAAATACAATAATTCACAGAACATTTCAAGACAATCCATGTAGATTGACACTTTCCTCTGTCGCTATAGCGATTGTATCGTCGTTGAATTGAACAGCATCACAAAGGGACGAATTGTAATGGTATTTTTTGAGGAAGCTTCCATTTTTAGATATATGTAGAAGTTCAGAATCATTTGGATCAATTATCATCCATTCATCATTGGTCAACAAACAGCATGACATTGTGTAATCTCCAGAAGTTAAGCCAAGCTTAAGTGACCAGTATCGCTCAAGTGTTATTAGTGAGCATAGATCGAGACGCATGCCATCCTTATCATTATTGATAATCAGAGCCAATGCAGCATGATTCGATGCGAGATCCTCAATCGATTCATGTTTGGCGCAAGAATGAGGTGATACGTGTTCTAGAACAAAATGAATGGGCGGTTGAATATCATATTCGAAGATAGAGGATCCTTTATCGAACGTCGATAGAAACAATTGATGATTTGAACACGTTCCACATGACCAAGTGTTAATATGCCTGTGCCGATCAAGTGTAAGTGGTTCGAGAGTCATCATGTTTGACTCGAGAGTAAAGATCCCTGTTGAAGTGATGAGAATGAATCGAGCGAGAGCATTCGACCAAATAATATCATGAAGATCATCTTGAGCCCATATGATCTCTTTCTCAACGATCAATTCTCGATTGAATAGCCGAAGACTTTTGTTTTGTATAACCAAAAGATTATTGTCCTTGGCGACTATGGCAATGGGTGTGTCGCTTCCTTCCGACATTTTATATGGAGGCTGTAGTGGAAAACCATCTCCTGTTTGCGATATTTTATTTCGAGTGTTGACAAGATTATCATCGATGACCAGAGGTGAAAGGGTGAATAGTTGACTTTCAGGTAAGTTTATTAGCTTTTCGACAGTTCGCAGAGATTTTTGGATTGAATTAATATGTTCATGCGTCACGTCTTGTTCGCGAATCAGTTCACTGATTTGATCTCGCAATAGATTGAGTTTTTTTTCTGAATTGTTCGTGATTTGTTAAGTAATTCGTCGAATTCTTGTTTTTTTCTTTCATAGAACTGATCGATCAGTCGATGGGCTTGTTGACGCCACTGTTCAAGTTCTTCGAAAATAGTGGGTTCAACTAACATGACACTGTTGAATTGTTCAGACAGAGTATTGATTTCATCAGCAAGTGACGTGAGTTGGGTCAGAAGTGAGTCAGAGTGTTCATTCAGATGAACGATACAGAGATTTTCTTGGCAGCAATGACAAAGAGCGCGAGAAAATCGTTTACAACAGTTAATCGAGCAACTTTGTGGCGATTCCATATCGGATAATATTGAATGCGAAACTCTAATGTGTTTATGATACGAAGAAAAGTATGATTATTTTATACAGTTTATCATTCTTTGTTATCATGGGCATAATGCAAATAAAACCACAAAGACAAAAAAAATCATGCTATGTTGACCTCAATAATACTTGTGTCTGTATGGACGATAGACCTATAGAATGATCGATAACTACGATCCGCAGTCTATTTTTGACCTTTAACTTTTGTTGTTCCTCAATGCAATACGAATGATTGTTTCTTTATCAACACCGATCAACGTTTTCATATGATTGAATAGTCAATAATGACAACCCATATCATGATTCATATCTTCATTATTGGTTATGTTCATGTCTGCGACAAAGACGAGATCTCGATCATGTAATCAAACACTCTGGTTCTTGTAAGAATTCAAAAAAGCATAAAATATTATTATTGGGATATGCTATCTAGTAGACCATCCTCACGATATCTAACGGTTATTTTCGTTAACTACTTTTCATTCTCTAGTACTTTTCTCTTTGTCATCATCTAAATCAACTTTTACTTGACAACAGAACACTCAGCTCAAGAATCATACAAAAAAAAAACAGATCTTATCTTCTGACGATATTGAAACTACTGTAGATTTTACTTCATTTTCTTTTCTGAAGATTGAGAGCCAATTTTGATATAGTTATTTTCGTAACAGACTTAAATGCTCGTCTAATTCCGACAGATCTCGGTCTCTCTTTAATGCTCAACAATTTGCAACATCTCCACGAGCGACCAATCTGATATTGAGTTTACAATCAGTCAGTGTTATATACTAAAGATAAGCTCTATTCGATGAAGCAACGATGGAGTTTCCTCGTTCACTCGTTCTACACATAGATTGTTCTTTCTTTTTTATTTAGAAAATGCTTCTCGTAATTTCTTCGATATCCATGATGATGATATATATTATCAATAGTCGAGCAATGTTCATATCGATAGGTTCTCGTCGTCGAAAACTGAATTGTGAAATTAAGTCAAATGAATGGTTTCAAAATGGATCGAATGACTTCAGTCGAGGGTCAAGCGAGTCGTAGCGACGAGCATTACTCATGTTCAACACGAACTAATTTCCAACGAGCTTTGGGTTTGGGTGTGGGTGTGGGTATGAGTGTGGGTGTGATGAGAGGAACGATATTCACGCAGAACCCACACACTCACACCCCACAACCATACCAACACCCACCCACACCCACACCCAGCATTAACATGTTTATAAGATATTGGAGTTACAATAATTTTATGAAGACAATAATATTCAACAATTATCGATCAAGATGTTTGAAATCAACCAAGATAATAAATGTCATGCGTTACATTCGAATCTCTATTTATAACCGATATAAAGCACGAGTGTTATTTAAAATATATAGATAGAGTATTCAAGAAAATACAACCGAATTAAAATTTTTTAATTGGTTTGGATGAAAAATTAGACAAGAGTGTGAATGTAAGAAAGTTTAAAATATAACTAAAAATTAACAAGATGGCTGACTCTGTGTGAGGGTATTGCTCTTCGACTCCGGTGTACTTATTTTTGTATTTTGGCACGCAGCTAGATCCTGTTTATATCTATGATCAAACCATACTTTTCCAATTCATTAATAGTGGTACGTGTTTGTCAGCCCATTCAAACTCTTATACCCTTGTGCGGTTTTCCGTTTACGTCAATCCTTCATGGTTAAACAAACTCGTGAAGGAACATCTCTTAACATACCCGCAAAATGCTGTCACTCTGTAGAGATAAATTGCATGGGCATAAGGTTAAAATATTTTATGGATTGCATACTCTCTGTCAAAGTTATAGAAGTTTCAAAATAGTTATTTTTCCAGCTATTTTGATGCCGGTGAAAAAACTAGTTCTTACCAACGTGTAGGGTATGCATCAAACATACCTCACACTCGATAATGAATCAATCTGCAATCAGTTTAAAGGAATAAATCTATGAATGAAATATAAAACCGTTAGTTAATCTAAACGAGGTACAGCTCGGTAAAATTCTGTGAACATGTGTGAAATTTATTATTTAATGATTTTTATTTGCGTAATCTCTATGAAAGAAACGATTCAAATCAAATGAAGATTTATTATTTCGTCAGCAATCTGTAGAATACCTTTTCTTCAAAAGTTATGGGAATTAAACTGGATCTCGAAGAGGATATGATGTTTCTGTTTCTTTTAATTGAATCATATGAAGATCTTCAGATGGGTGATATTGGCATATGACTTCAAATTGAGTCGCTGGCAATAATAAGATTTCATCTTCATCAGCATACATTGAATGATGTCGAATGTTTTTTGCATCTTTACATTCAATAGTGAATATTGTACGCATGCCTGTCTTGCCCAATATTGTTTCTTGTTCCAATACATCGATTCTTGACGTGCATGATGAAAACCCCCACCATGCGAATTTCTTGCCTGGTTGATATATATCACTCAAATTAACCTTAACTCCACGGTAAACTGTTCGATCTTCTATCGACGGTAGTTTAGCGAGAGCTGTCAGTATAAGCTTTAAATAAAGAAACCATGGTTTTAATAAATCTCGTTTTTCTTTACGAAGAGTAGAATTAAGAATAGAGTAGAGACTTTCTTCCTCTTTCATCCATTCGATTGAATATAACATAATTGAAGCTGATTCATCTGGTGTCAAGTTATCTGCAGGAGCTTTTGAGTTAAATTTAGCAATCCACGCTTTTCGCTTTATATCTGGAACAAGTGGAATCAATGGATTGATAGCATCTTCTAATGACACAAGAGGTTTTTCATGATAACCTTCAATAGGAAGCAACATTTTGTCAGGTTCTTGACTTATGTCAGAAACACGGTGAACATTAATGAATCGTTTATCAGTAGTATCTAATTTCTAGCAGACGTTATGGTTTCTAAAAGACAAGAGAAAATATTTTTTTTATTTTAAACCGAAGAATATTCTACAATACCAATATCAACGTGATATTGAGTGGGAATTTTAAAAACATTTTTAATGGAACACGGGAACATTTTTCCTATTATGGACACATGAGTACAACAAATCGAAAAGAATTAGAATATACACAATATTGTTTTTAGTCAGCTGTTTTCTCACGTAATTTATTCTAAATGACATACTTTTCAAAGTAATTGTACATTTCTTATCATCTGTTAAATTTAGACAACTTGACATAAAACCATTCTGTTTTTTTGGTTAAGTAAATATGATGCTTCTTTTAACAAACAAAAATAACAACTATTTTTGTATTAATTTTAGTTAAATTTAAAATAATGGTAGACTATTGATTTTCCTAGGATAGGATAAAACTTATTTTCATCGATATGAAGTACTTAAAAAATACAAGACAAATTTAAAGAAAGATTATGATTATCACTAAACCATTTCCGAGTTCGTAGCATTAAAAAAAAATCTATATCCGTAATAACCTTCTATAAGTAACTTTTATCTCTCCATAGTTATGTTTATTGCACATTCTCGCAATAATTTGGAATAAACTTCATGAGAAATGTGTCAGAAGGATATGAAACTTTTTCACCTATTTTTAAGTCTGATATTCTTCTCATACCCGGCATATTATCAATCAATGTAGTTTCACTTGTTCGATCTGGTGACAAAAGTTCTAATCTGCTATTTTCTTGAACATTGTACTCTGGTAAAGTTCGATGGTCTGTAAGTTCCTTGCCAGCAAAAATCAATCGTTGTTGATCGGATGGAATATGTTCTTTATCTGGAATTTCGTCTTTAACATCTTTGATGGTACTACTTGATTGCACTATCAATCGAATCGTATTTCCATCCCTGATTTTCACAAAGATTAATATTTCATTAGGAAGCAGAAGATATAATGTGGCATCCTTTTGAATATTATAATCTGATATGGTTCGATCATTTTCAAGCTGTTTATCAGTAAAAATCAACCGCTGTTGATCAGGTGGAATACTTTTTTCAACTTGAATTATTGCTTTTACATTTTCGATCGTGTCATTTGGTTCTACTTCCAATGTAATAATGTTTTTAGCTAGTGTTTTAACAAAAATTGTCATACTATCAGAATGCCGAATTATAACAGTCATTTGGTGGGGGCCACATCCTTCGATATTATAGTGTTCTAAGGTTCGATCATCTTTCAGTTTTTTACTAGCATAGATCAATCGCTGTTGATCAACTGGAATACCTTCTTTATCTTGAATATATTTTTTGACATGTTCGATGGAAACAGCTGGGCCTGTTACCAAAGAAATCGTTCTTCCTGCCAATGTTTTGATATCTAAACAGCAATGTGGTCCAGCCAATCGACCCACTAGATGAAGTGTGCTCTCCATTTGAATATTGTAGTCTGACAGAGTTCTACCATCTTTAAGCTGCTTGCCAGCAAAAATTAATCCCTGTTTATCAACTGGAATCTTTTCTTTATCTTGAATTTTCTCTTTGATATTTTCAATAGTATCATACGGTTCCACGTTCAATGCAATAGTGTTTCCAGTCAGTGTTTTTACAAAAAGTTGCATTATTTTAGAGTGTGAACCAACTAGATGCAATGTGTTTCCGTTTTGAATATTGTAATCATTTAGAGTTCGACCATTTTCAAGTTGCATCCTATCGAAAATCAATCGCTGTTGATCAGGTGGAATCCCTTCTTTATCTTGAATTTTCCCTTTGACATCTTCGATAGTGTCGGACGGTTTCGCTTCCAATGCAATAACTCTCCCAGTTATCATTTTAACAAAGACTAGCATACCACCACCAAGTCGAAGTAATAGATATAATGTGCTTGCCAGTTGAATCTCGTAATTTGATAGAGTTTCATAATCTTCAAGTTCCTTGCCAGCGATAAACAATCGCTGTTGATCAGGTGGAATACCTTCTTTATCTTGAATTCTCCTTTTGACATACAAGACGGTATTCCAAGGGTCAATTTCCAGTGCGATAGTTTTTCCACTCTCTGTTTTAACAAAAATTTTCATTCCTCCACAGAGAGGACGAACTAAATGTAGTGTTGTTCCAGTGGTCAAATGATAGTCATTTAAAGTGTATAGATCAGCCAATTGTTTTCCAGCAAAAAGTAATCGTTGTGATTCAATCGAACAATTTTCCATATCACTTATTTTTCTTTTAACTGTTGCGATCGTTTCAGATAAATCAATATTGATTATCATTATTTTACCGGTCAGCGTCTTTACATAAATGAAATTTAAGCTGTTGTTGAGAAAGTAATCATTTTCATATATATTATCACAGCCTATTTTGGAAGTCATATCTCGATTTCTAAAAGGAATTTTATTACATTGAATTTAAAACTGTATCATTGTAGATATAGTCTCGATCTAACGAAAAAGCACCTCTAGAACTACGAAACTTTAGGAAATAAATACTTAAAATTCTTTATTTTTCAGCTCGATAAATTGAAGTACAAGAATTTTTAAATATTTAGATTATTTACAATTACATATCCAAGTCGTTCGATATTTCTTTGACAAAAACGAGCTGTACCGTGTTAAAGATACTCATAAACCTAGTTTATATGTTGAAATTCAATTTATTTTTAGTAATTAATTATATGAAAATTTTCTAACTAAGTAATCAAAATTTTGTATTTTTAGATAGTACTACCTTTTTCTCAAAAAGTTATATTGATACATTTCCCTACATAAAATCACACTGGAATCAATCGGAAATAAAATTATTTTTGAAGGACTTTTCATATCTATGGAACTCATAGTTAACTTGTGATTTAACTTAATTTCATGTAATGGAAATAATACTACTGTTTGAATTATGTTCCTTCATAATCCATGTTTTGGAAGCATCTAATACAAAATAAATGATTAAAATTGTATTTCTATGGATGTCCGTAACATATCTTCAAGTAAGAGTAATAAATATTCTGCATCTATTTACGAAAAATAAAAGAAAAAGCTACTTTTAAAGGTAACTTCACGTATTTTAATGAAACAATAAAATAAAAGCACCATAAAAAAAACTTATTTATTGTCATAGAAAATGAAAGGATAAACGAAATGTCGCTATTTTATTACTGAATAAGGGTTTTAAGGTAAAAGAATCCAATAAAAAAAACTGCACTCTGTATAAATATGCGCAATAAGTTCAGTTGAATAGGCATTCTTCACAAAAAAACGCTTTATTTCCGTAATGTTGTTCTCTATCTCATTGATGTTTTTATTCTTTCATTATTATATTGGCCTTTTCTTCCTAGCTGTAGTTAACATTTTATTTTTATCCAAGAAAATATTCTTTATTATATTCAACCACCCATGAGTAGCTTTATCATGCACAAAACTAACCAATAACTCTAAAAGGCCAAATACCCATGTGAAAATTTCAGCGAAAAAGCTGACTTAAAGCAGCTTGAATTTTCGCTTAAACAGCGCTTTTCAGCGCACATTTTTAAGCGATTGAAAGAGCTTAAAGTGAAAAGTGTAAGCGGTTCTAAGTGCTGAAATGTATTATTTAAAAAAGGATTATTTTACGCTTCTGATGTCCCTGTATTGGGGTGTGGGTGTGGGTGTGGGTGTGGGTGTGGGTGTGGATGTGGGTGTGGGTGTGGGTGTGGGTGGGTGTGGGTGTGGGTGTGGGTGTGGGTGGGGGTGTGGGTGGGGGGGGGGGTGGGTGTGTGGGGTGGGGGGTGGCGTGGGGG